GGCTGCCACCACCATGACTCTGCACACGGCCGCTGCCTCAGGGCAGGTGGAGGAATGCAAATGACTGTGGCCCTCAAATTGCAATTTAAGGGTAGCTGTTAGGTGATACCCCTCCCATATATTTTCCTTCCTAACCACCAAGTCTGAGGATAATGTGCTATTTTTACTTATTTTCAGTGGAGAGAACGTTAAACCTTAAGGTGATGGTGGCATATTGCTGAATTATGTATTTCAGCCCGACTAGAATAAATTGGATTTTTCTGTTGTTGTTGGAGAGAGGGAAGAAAAGAGAGCTTTGAATCCAAAGAAAATTAGATGAAAAAGCTATGTTTTCCTGATTCCTGGGTTCTAGGTATGATGAAAACATAGCCACAATTAATAATATAATCAAACTGTAAAAAGTTGTCATCATTGACAACGTGTTTCTGGCCAGACATCTGGAATCCGTGTACTCAGATTTTAATTACATTTGCACCTATTGATTTAAAATATGCTTTTTGTCCTCAGAATGCAATGATGAGATTTAAAGGAAAAAGAACACGCTAAAAGGCTTTCCAAAAGTGTCCGAGGCCTGGATAGTGACGCTTGCATTCAAGGATGCTACGTGGCATTACAGAAATGAATCAGAGACTCAGGCCCGCCACTTCCTTAGAAACAGAAACATGCATAAAATTGTTAGAGCAAACGAGTTTTTAATTTCAACTAAAAACAAACAAACGAACAAAAAAACAACACTTCACTTTGGACTTGGCTGGAGGAAAACCCTAAGTCTGTTCATGGCCCAACCTCTGCCCAAGTCAACTATGGGTCTGACTGGCCGCATTTTCAGTTTCTTTATTTTCAGACCTGGCTCTCTCTTGTTGTAATGCTGGTAGCAGTCATAGTGATCGTGGGGTTTAGCACTTTAAGAGTCACCATTTTAAAACGCCGAAATATTTTTCTTTAAGGGTAAACCTGTTTCTCAAGTGAACTCCTGGAGGAAGCCTGTTCTGTGCATATTCAGGTCCTCAGAGAGAACACTCCTCTTCACCTACCGGAAATCTGTGTCTCCCTCCTTTTCAGGTCTGTCTCCTTAGGCTGGAAAGGACAGCCTCATGTCGCCACTCTTGGAAAGGGGTTGGGATGTGGTGCTCAGATTCCCTGACTTTTACTTGCATAGAGGGTGGGAGAAAGAGAGGAGGAGGAAATGAAACCTTGAGGAAGAAGGGAAAGAAGCAAAATCACCCAGCCACCTGCCCTCTGGAGGAAACTGCCACACACGGGTACCTCTGTGGCCTTGGAAGTATACGGGGAATGCACTCTAAGGTTACTAAAGGAGAAGGATGCTTCCCACCCAAGTTTTTTGTTTTTTTGTTTTTTTGTTTTGTGTGTGTTAGTTTGCAGGGGGAGGAGAACATTTCTTTTCCCTCTGCCCGTTTTGGGTTCACTGCGGGGGTCCTGCAAATTAGATTGATAAAAGACAGACTATAGAGAGAAAAACAAATTTAGGAACTCAATGCATTGAATACTCAGTGATGAGTGACTCCAAGGAACAGTTACAACTTGGGCTTCTATGGGCATCTTAGCAAAGAACAGTAAATTTGCAGAGAAGCGACAATGCAAAGGAAAAGGGTTTTAGGATTCCAAGGGTGGTAAGCCGTGGAAAGGTAAATATATGGGGGAAAGTAATGGAAGATAAGGATGTTTTAGCAAAGTTTATTACGTAGTTTCCTCGGGTACAGTTTTGGGGCTGATTAAGAGTCTGGAGTCGTCTCTGGTGGTTAAGAATTGGCCTGCCCTTCCTGGCGGCGAGGAGGAGGCCATAAAGAGTTCATCCTGTGTCTGCTTCTTTCTCAATTGTTTTCAGCTCAAAATAGGCCTTATGCCACAGTGGCAGGTTTTGCGGTGGCATACTCTGAACCGCGTTCAAGTTCAATTTTTCCTTCTTTTTAAAAGTTTCTTAAAGTAAGACATACACACGGGAGAATTTATAAGTAGAAATTTGGAAGTTATACAGAAGCTAAGAGAAGCATGCAAAAACATGACTAAATCTTATCTCATTAGTCGAATGCAAGCATATCTAGGTATAGTTCCAGTAATTTTTCCTACGCTTTTTTTTTTTTCTGCACGTAACCGAGATCATTCTCCACACAGAATTTCGCGTACCTCGGTTCTGTTCAACCGATCAAAAATATTTTCTCAAGCTATTATTCACTCTTTAAATATCATTTTAATGGCAGTATAATTTCCCGTCATATGACTGTACCATAATTTATTATAATTTTCCTAATATTTAGACATCTAGGGTGAGTTAAATAAACGTTTTGTGTGTGTGCATAAATCTTAGCATTTCAAATTATTTCCTGAGGATAATCTACCAGAGGTAGAAATATGGGATCAAAAGAATATCATCATTTTTCAGGTCTTTAGAGCACATTTTACCCAGCAGTTGCATCCACTAACATTAGCACAATATATGAGTGTCTTCCTGAAGCTCTGACCGCATTGGTTGTCATTTAACCTTTGCTATTTTGTCAGGTCCCTGTTACTTAATGTTGCATTCAGTGGTGAGGCTGAAAATTGTTTAGTATATAATAAGCTTTTTGTATTTTCTCTTCTACAAGTTATCAGTTCAGGACTTGTCTATTTTTTCATTGATTTATAGTAACACTTTATAAACCAAGATTATTAGCTTTCTTTGTGCTTCAATTTATGAAAGAAAAAAAACCTTCTTATCAGTTTAATTTTTGTCCTCTGATATTGTTATGATTATTTTTGAGGTATGGGAATTTCATATTTCTCTATATTTCAATTTATTGGCCTTTGACTCTGATTTCTTCCATTCCTTTAAAGTATAGGAAATCTTTACCTACCTAGTACTGGATAAATATGCAGAAACACATTCTTTTAGTTATGTAATCAGTTTTTCAAAAATATGATTTCTTGAGCCTATCTGGACCTTAATTTATTATATGGTATGAGAAACAATGTATTTTTTCCTGATAAGCTAACAATTATCCTGGCATGACTATTTTCCCCATAGTTTTTATATGTATTCCATAAACATAAGACTATTCTTAAAAAATGCAAGATTATGTTTTGGGGTTTTCAACTGACTTCCTTGCCTGCTCTTTTTACCAGTGGTTTTTCCACCCTTAATTTTTGTGTTTAGACATTCTTTTATCTCTTGTATTGAATTCTTTCTACATAAAAGGTGGCCAAGATGACGTACAAAGAAGACCGTTAAAGATTATTGGAGAAAGAGATCTCTGGCTTTACCGTTTTGGGTCTTAGGAGAAAAAGGTACAGTGTTAGCTCTGCTTGTGTCTATGAAGGGTGGGGTTCATGTTATGACACAGAAAATCAGAAAGAACTTTCATAATTTCTTGATAGTCACAGGAACAGTAATATAAAGAAGAGAATTACGTATCTTTTTATTCATCTCAAGAGAAGAAAATTTCCAGTGAGGAGATTAAGACATTTAATGCTGAAAGAGCATCTCATCTGAGGCTTCTAGGGCACCAGTAAAGATTTCAACCCGTGTGTCTGTAAAAAATTGCCAGAAACTGTCACAAAATGGAAAATGAGAGCCTGCATTACGATGGTTCTGCTAGGGTTCTATAAGGTATGTGCTGAAAAAGTTTGTTTTGTGCTTAAGGCTTGTTAATAGTATCTTAGGATGATGGGGTTATCGGTGACTTTTTTATTTTTGGACGTTTAACTGTGTTTTCATACCCCCTCCCCAAATTGCATAGAAGTCTTTTTTCTTAATAATGGTCTGTTAATTAACTTCTGAAAATACAGTACTGGAAGCTTTAGTCCCAAGAAGTGCAATGGTACCAAGAGTGGATTTTCTGTTTTTTTTCACCTCTTTTCCTTAATAGACACAGTGACACTAAAACTCATCTCATTAGAAGAGGTTTTTTGTGAAAATGAGAAAGGACATTTCTAAATCAAGTGCTTTTCTTCTGAATAAGATTTAACCCAAAATGAGGTTGGGGACTGAAAGAAGGTATGAAAAACTACCTCTTAAAATTTCTATTCCTAAAGCTAATAGGAATTCTTTTGCAATTTTTTTTCCTTGACAACCAAGGATTGATACATCTTGCATGTTCAAAAGTAGAGGACTATAAGTCAGTACTCACTGGCTACAAATTTTTTCCCCTGTAAATTCCCTTTTGGTGATACAATTGTGCTATTTTACTATCTGAAAAATTTCCGTTTTTCTTTAATGGTCTTTACTTTCCTCTTTTCTTAGCTCTTCTTAATTGTTCTATTTTTCATTAGTAGACAGTTCTCTCTGGTTGACCAACAGTGACTGGGGGTCAGAGTCATGGACAATAGACAATATCTGGTTTAGTCTGGCTCCAGAAAAGTTAAACTGTGCCTCAGCCTCTAACGAGTCACTTGAAGGGTAAGCAACAGTCAGCCCTCCGTGGCAATAATGTCGTTGTTGGAAGCACTTGAGAAAACCTGCTGTAATTTTTTTACACACACACCCTCCCACCCCAAAGCAAGTTTATCTTTGTTTTTAAACCATAAACCACACGCTGCATTTCTTTTCCATGCCACATTGAAAGGAAATAAAAAGCAAGCGCAGTACGTATCACTTAAACACATTAACAATTAGGCAACAGTCCATTTCCCCCTTGAACTTTTCATGCTTGTTTTCCTGTCTTAAAAAAACACTTAAAAGCCATCAAAGTGAGGGGTAGGGGGCGTGTTGAGCATGGAAAGTCTTGGCTCTACCATGGATGTCCACACAATTTCTTGGAACGAGGCTTCCAGTAGATAACCCAGTGAGATGGAGGAATTTCTTTCCACTCAGATACTGTCAGGGCCAATGTGCCTTTCAGGAGACTGTCTGTGAGATTCTGAGCATTGAAACTGTAAAAAAAATTGAGCTGGACAGATCCTTGCCACCACAGTTTCTGCTAAATATAGATAAGTTGTCATCGCGTTGCACAAGCAATTTCCAGCTACGGCTCCTCAGGAGGAGACGCGGGTCCCGGGGCTCATGTCTCTGGTAGTTAAACTGCACAGAGAGATGTGGATCTTGACCTGGGGGTTGTGGGGAGCCAGGGAAGGAGGCAGCATGGAAACAGGAGAAAGGAGCCTTAGTTCTGGTTAAATATATAATGACACACTAGGGGATACATAGCAAATGAGGGTACTGGCTTAAAATCTCATTAAGCCTCAATAACATAGAAGAAAAGAGATGCAGAAGGAGCCCCCCTCCCCCCGCCCCGGAGTCTGTTTTCAAGTTCCTCCTGTCCCACTGCCTTGGAAGCAATGTGGTAATGGGGATGAGACCATGAAATATGGTGTCAGACAGTCCTGAGTTTGCACCCCAGCTTAATCTGACCCTCTGTGTGATTTGGGGTTAATTACTTAACTTCTCTGAGCCTCAGGGTCCTAGTACACAAAATCTAGGTAGAATAGTATCTCTCACAGTGTTACTAGCATTGACATTGGGATTAAAGTACATGGCACTACTAAGCATGCAACTTCTGCTGGCGCCCGTCTCCTCCTCCCCTTGGAGGCAAGTCTTAAGCTTCCCTGGACCCCATTCACCTCTCTCTTACCAAATCTCATTGGTTGTACCTCCAAAGCATATCCGGAGTTTGTCCCCTTCTCTCAATTCCCATTGCTACCATGTCAGTACAAGCCACTGGCCTCTCTTGCCTATGTCATTGCAACAACCTCCTGGCTACTTCCTCTCCTTCTGTTTCTAAATCCCGTGCGATCCATCTCTGCACAGCAGGCAGAGAGAAAAGCATACTAAGTCATGCCATCCTCCTCTCCGAAACCCTGCAATGGTTTCTTACTGAGGATAAAATCCAAACCTCGTCATAGCTTTCACGGCTCTGTGCGATCTGGCCCCTGCATACCTCTTTCCTCCTTGACTTCACTGACTATCACTTTCTTCTTCTATTAATATTTTCCAGCTGTACTGGCCTAATTTAACTTCCCAGAACACATCAAGTTTACTTCTACTGCAGGGCCTTTGCATTTGCTGTTTCCGTAGCTTGGAAGAAGTTGCTTCCATATTCTGTTGTGGTTGAAGCCTTCTCAACAGTTAGGTCCAACGTTCCCTCCTAAAATTTGTCTTCCCTGACTGAGTCTCTGTCACGACCCCTCTTCAATTTTTTTCTTTTTCATAGCACTTATCCTTACATGCAATGATTTAAAATTTTGCCTCTCTGATTCCCCTATGGGGATGTAAACTTCATGAAAGAAGGGAGCTACAGTTTCACCTCTATTTTAGCCCCAAACACTTGGACAGCATTTGGTGAATGAATTCTGAATGAATATGTAAAAATGGGATAATATCTGCCTGAAAGTTTGTGACCAGATTTGACAGTTTTCCTGTGTCTTTCTGTTTCTAAAGATTCTGTGATTTCCTAACCAGGAAAGCCTGAACCCCAGAATAATTTTAAAGACATGCAGTTAGGAAATTTTCAAATATTCAGCATAAAATAATTCACATCAGGGCTCCCAAGTCGAGGCACTTTGGGTATCTGCTTTCATGAAAAAACTAAGAAGGACTTATAATCTGCATGTCAAATATCTGTATATAAAGAGATTCTTTTAAACTACCATTTAAAAATTGTGTTCCTTTCAGCAGCATTTAGCTTTTCTGAGCAGTCCTATTTACAGCCAGCTGAACACATCCTTACTTCACAGATCTTGAAAAGGAATATGGTTCCACAGCACACAACACATCTGCTAAAAGAAACGGCTCAGGTGAGCACAGCCTGTGTCAGACGCACGCTCTTCAGCTCAGGGAGTTACTCACTCCACTTCCGTGGCTGTGCTGGAAGAGATACACTGTGCAAACTGGATGTATCCTAAGGAAGGCGCTGGAAACTGCGCTGGGAGAAGAAATCGGGAAGGCCTAACTGATGGGGGGTGGGGGTGGGGGAGCCTGGGAGTCATTGTTGGATATTTAAAAGTTTCTCCTGTAAAGAGTCTGTGCTGCACGTGCCCCAGGACGGATCTAGAACTGAAGAGCAGAAGCCACTGGGAGGCTGACTTTGGCTCCATCGTCGGAGGGGAATCTGACAGTCAGCCCATCCTCGTGCACAAGCGAAGGCCTCCTTGGAAATACAACAGGCCGGCGTCATCACTGGCTGTTTAACTTCCAGGCAGGCAGACCACGAGCCAGCAAGAACCTGTAAGGACAGGTGGGCAGCTTCTGCCCTTCTGGCAGGTTCTCATGGAGGCCTTTTCACAAATTCCAGGCTGGCTAGCGGGGCCTAACATGGTGTGATTTGTACCATACAGTGTTCCTTCTCAGATGTCTGCGTGGTATACGATGCCTGCCATTGCTAACGATTCAGGCCCAGACAATTTTAAAAAATACATTTTATTTGTTTATTTTTTTGTTCTTGTTTTTTTGAGGTGGATAATTGGGTTCACTTATTCATTTTAATGGAGGGACTGGGGCTTGAACCCAGGACCTCATGCATGCTAAGCACGCGCTCTACCACTGAGCTGTACCCTCCCCCTGGCCCAGACCATTTTGAATTTCAAATGTTCACCTAGAATCTCACAGATTCATGGTTTTATGTTCTGACCTGGAAGCAAGTTACTGGCTATTTCCTACCGAAGAAATCTCTTATCTGGAAGGCTGGAGCAGGCGATTCCTCTTCTTGGTGAACAATAGTTTGTGTTCCAAAAATAACCCCGGGTTTAGGGACAGAAGACAAGGCTGGAGAGTCGAAGGGTTGAATGAGATCACCTTTTCATTTGTGGCCTAAGAACTATCTGTTACATTTTACCCATCCCTTCTGGCGGGGGCGGCTGCTGGCTCCAGGCAGAAGCTGACCCCCTCCTCAGCGACATCCCCCGGCCTGACCCCTCTTTTCTCTTTCTTTCTTTCCTTCCTTCGCCTTTCATTAGAATCCCTGTGAGCCTGTGCACGCTTAGCATGAAAATGAGCCCATTTTATTTTTGGAACCCACAGAGGCAGCCCTGAGGGGAGTGATTGTGTTGCTTTTAGCAGCTAAACAAAAAGGTGTGAAATCATTCGCTGGCTGTTCTAGAATGGGAAAAAATAAATAAATAAACGGAGAAGGAAGGTTCAGGACAGTGTGTGGCAACTTGGACAGAACCTCGGGACTGGGGCTTCTCGGAGACTTATTAGTAACCAAAGTGGCTGTGGGAATGTCTGTACATTCCTCTCACCTTCCCGGGATGGTACTAGAATAACACGGGAGGGCACTGGGATTTTTTTTTTTTTTTTTAATGATTTGTTTTGAAAAACTAGTTCCACGTTGCTTTGAAAATAACTTGGGGACGGGACTAGTCAGAAAAATTCCTTCGAGCCCTTTGCAATGTTCCCTGTACAGGGAAGGCGAGGGAGAGGAGAGAGGACCGTTTCACCCAGGGTTTTTAAGACCTGGGAACACCTAGCAAGTGCTTCCGCAGGCAGGCACGGAGTCTCTACCGCAGGCCTGTACCGATTTAATCACACAACAGTGGTGAGAGACAAAGACCGCCAGCAACAAAGTCTTCTTATGAAACTTGAGGTTTTTGCCTCATGCTGACAACATTCATTGGGAGCCATTTCCTGTTTTGGGGGGCTATGTGTCCCAGATATCCCTCTTCTTGGAAGAGCATCATATTTTGAAATGTCTCTTCCTTAGCAGGGGCGACTGCATATTCAATTGGCATCTTTGATATGGGATTTTATTTTTCTTTTTACACTTAGGGATTCTGCAACTACAAAGTATCTGAAACAGACAAAAATGCAGAGACTTGATAAATTTCAGCCTTATCCCCAAGATGTCACAATTGCTCCTTGAGCTCTCCTTAAAAGAAATCAAATGTTACGGCTGTGCTTTTCCTACTTCCATGCTCCTCTCTTCCTCTTTCCCAAGGGGCAAATCCTGTTCTTCAACTGATGTGCAACCTTCCACCCTTAGCCTTGTTGCAGGCCTGACCAAGTAGCCATTTGGTTTAGTGAACGTAGCCTTTGGGCTATTTCAGCAGCCAGGCTTCTATGACTGGTGGGCATTGCCATGCAGTGGGCAGCCACTGGGCCTGTCTTATGAATAGGCTTCCTTTTGTCCAGCAGTTAGGACAGAATTACAGTAGAGTCCAATGCTAGGAGAAGACATACCTTTAAAAAGTACTATTTAACTGATTAATCAATTCGTAGAACAAATGATATTGATGGCGCACTTATTGCCAGGGACCACGCTCTGTGCGGAGATATGGTGAGTCACAGACAGACAAATGGAAATTATAACTGCTGTAACACCAGACTTTCTCTTTTGGAAAGGAACTGTCTTTGCTTGGGAAAATCCCATGATAGACCATGTCGTTGACCAGGTGGGCAGTAAGAATGAAGAGACAATTCATTGAGCTGAGCAGGATTGTAGAGTGAAGGAGGAGAAAGGAGAAGGAGAAGGAGGAGAGAAATAACTAGGAATCTCAGGGTGAGAGAGAGAGAGAGAGATGAGAGATGGGAGTGGGGAAAGGACAAAGGGAAAGATAAGAGGACATATGGCAAAGTGGCTAAAACCAAAAGAAAATCTATGGTGGTCAGCTGCTAGCGGGCTGCAATATCAAGGTCTCTAAGGATCAGTTGGAAGTCATTTGTGTTTCTGTGAAACAAATGCACTGCTTGGTACCCATCCTCTTCCCCACACCCAGTAAAATGTTTAGTGAAATAGATTTTTTTCAAGTCAGTATACACACAGTATACACAAGTATACACACACACATACCCATACACATACATGTACCTAAAAGACATCAGATAAGCTGAAATGGATCCATGGAGACAGAAATTCAGCACTGGAGGTGACCATGAACACACAGCCCTGGTGCCTCCCCCTTGTACTCTCCAACCCTGGAATTCTCAGAAACCCACAAAGTCTTGGCTTTCCCTGTGGCCTGGGGAAACTGCACTGAGATGCATCTCAAAGGGCAGAGAGAGCTTATTTGACGTCGGAGTTGAGAGCCGAGCTTACTGTTTGGGTTTTACCCCATAGGTAATAGGGAACATGATTTGAATACGGGGGTGGATTCTATAATTTAACAAACCTCTATCATAGTTGCCCAAATGCTCTTTCCCCTTGTTTGCAACCAGCAAACACC